TCAGTTCTCTCCCAGCTGTTAAACAGGGCTCTCGCTTCTTCCCAGGCAGTTAATGAGTGTTTACAGAAGAGCCTGGAGATATTCAAATCTCAGCTGGGCCACCACTACAGTTATAAAGCTCAATAAGGGCTGAGTGTCATTTGGGGAGGGGAGGAGTAGAGGAAGAGGGAAACAGACTACTCTCTTACAACCTAAGGATAAAGCCACGCTCACAGAGCAGCACAAGCCTCAGCTGCCACAGGATATCCTTGTGCCCAGGGATGGAGGTCACACACCTCCATCCCTCCAACCACCACCAAAGGATGGCCTGCAGCTAACTGTGGGCAGAACCCAGGCTACAGCTGGTCTTCATTAACTCCAGCTTTTTTCACCCCCCGCCCACGCCATACTGTGAACCCACAGCTTCAACAGGCCCAGGCTGGAGGGGCTGCCCTAGCCCGACCTTGCAGCTGACTTTGGGGTGGGGGGCACTGCACCAAAGACTCCCTTTTTGCCACTGGGAGCGAGCAGGGAGGAAAGAAAGGAGTGTGGGGCTGAGAGGGTGGAGGTGGGGGAATTTAGGGCAAGCAGCAGGCAGTGAAGTCAGCGGGATCGGGGCCCGGAAACCCCTACACCCTGGGGCCAAGTCCTACTCTGGCTGCGCCTTCAGCTTGAGTCTTGGCGGGGCCCCAAACTAGGGAAGGCCCCAGCTGCCCCTTCCCGCCTCCCTCCCCCCACCCTTATTAAATACACATTTTATCTCTCAGCATCTTCATTATCTTAACTGAAGGAGACAAGCAGTGGATGGCGGCAGCAGAGAGCACGGGGGTGGGGGTGGGGGTGTGTGGGGGTGTGTGGAGCAGACGCACCCTTGTTATAAAGTGCTGATCTAGCTCTTTCAGGCAGTGTGGGAAACAGAGGAGGGATCAAAGGGAGCCAGGCTGGTTCAGAACTCAATTAGAGCTTTTTAAAAAAAGAGCTGGCTCTCTCCTTTCGCCAGTCTTCAGACAGCCTTCACCCAGGCCCCTTGCACCCAATTAGCTTCTCCTGCCAGCGCCTTGGGCTGGGGTTGAAATCAAGCGGAGGCCAGAGGGCAAGGTTTCTTCCGCTACAGAACCACCTCTTCTGGGAGACGGAGACCTGCTGCTGTTCGTAGCTTAAGACAGAAATGTCTTCGAGGGCACCTGATCTTTTCGGGAGGAACCGGAGATCACATCTTTCCCCAGAAGTTAAAAAGTGGGACATCAGAGGGTTTCCCTGGTGGCGCAGTGGTTGAGAGTCCGCCTGCCGATGCAGAGGACGCGGGTTCGTGCCCCGGTCCGGGAAGATCCCACATGCCACGGAGCGGCTGGGCCCATGAGCCATGGCCGCTGAGCCTGCGCGTCCGGAGCCTGTGCTCCGCAACGGGAGAGGCCACAAAAGTGAGAGGCCCGCGAACCGCAAAAAAAAAAAAAAGTAAAAAAAAAATGATGGCTTAGATATACACTGGTTGACATAGAAAGATATTCTCAATGTATTGGATTGAGTTATTTAAACAGCATGTTATAAAACACTATAAATATTCAAATGTTCTAATCTATTTTACAATGTCTTCATTACTTTTTAGTTACTTTTGTAATAAAATAACTAGTCGTATTGTGGATAATAGATAAATGAGCAAAGTACTGAGATAATTCACAAATGAAGAAATAAAAATGGCCAATAGGGACTTCCCTGGTGGCACAGTGGTTAAGAATCCACCTGCCAATGCACGGGACACAGGTTCGTGCCCCGGTCCGGTAAGATCCCACATGCTGCAGAGCGGCTGGGCCCGTGAGCCATGGCCGCTGAGCCTGCGCGTCCGGAGCCTGTGCTCCGCAACGGGAGAGGCCACAA